TACCACAGTGAAGTACAAACAGAAACCAATCTCCTGCTTTTCCCTAATACTGCTCTGTGAACCATTCTTCTGTGTACCTTGAATAAACTTTAGTCTAATTCCACACTGTAGTAGGATGTATTTGGTATTCCTTTCTATATTCTTAACATGGTAACCTCATGTGTAGCCATATGGGTTGAACAAGTGTTAAAGGGCAGAACCTTTAATAATCAGCATAGGATTCATCATATTTCCCTTTATCATGATGACAAGCAATGTTTCACACAGTGGCTAGCTATTCTTTCAGTCTGAGTCTCATAGTCAAACTACAATCAGTGTGGTCTACCATTATCTTGGTTACTTTGCTCTTTGCTAACACAAAATACTTGACACAGTGTTGAAAGAGTTTATTTCAGCTCACACTTTGTAGAGGTTTTAGTCCATAGGGCTGGCTTCAAGGCAGGGCAGCACAGCAGAGGGGCATCACAGAACAGCCAGGAGACAGCAGGAGACCAGCACCAGCAGCAACAGCAGCAAGCCTACCTTCCCTCTGCCCCTTTATATTCCACTCATCCTGTCTTTTGATTGATGCCATCCATACCCTTAGTCCCAGAATCACACCCTTATTCCATATTCACACACCCTATTCCAGCCGCCTTTGAAACTCCCCATCTATGACTACATGAGACTCTGGGGGACATCTAGATACAATCCATAACAAGCATGCTGTTTTAGGATACACAGGGTAGGCGGGCATGTTACATGGATCTGCAACCCTGTACTTCACTTAAAACACTAGGGGTTTTGGGGTACTTTAGTAAAACATCAAAGTAGAAAATCTAATTTTAATATCTCATTTGTACTTTTCACTTAGGGTCAACTTTCTCTGGGTTTATGTGTATGGAAACAAAATTTTGCCTTATACGTTGTTTTGAAAATTAATATTAATGTTCATAAAAGCATCTGTATAGAGATTCAAGACCACAATAACAAATGGCATCCTATAAGTCACTTACGGTCTATGTTGCTTGCTTTCCTGACAAGTAGTTAAAATCCTATTTTTAAAAAATGTTACACAAATGAACTACAGAATATGTAAGTACATTTTCAAGGTACTATTTTTGGCTAGCTGGGTACACACATAACTATTTCTAAAGTTCACTTTCCTAAACTTTTGTTCTATACCTTCCAAAAGCCAAAGAATGTGTGTGACCAAAATGCCTGGCAGATGGCAAAGGTATGTCTCAGGCATTTTGCTTATTTTCCTAGTCAGCAAAAGTATTATGTTCACTGCCATTACAGATGGCTATTATTTAGTGTAAGCTTTTTTTTTTTTTAATATTTTTACGTAAAAGTAAGATGAGATGAAGGATAAATTTCTATGCCTTCCTTCAAGTTACCAAGTACCTTTTTGGATCTGAAACCAGAACGTATTTTTCTATTTTCTTTTTCATTACTTTCTGTGAAAACTTTTTATTGCAAAAGAAGGTGCCACAATACTTTGCCATAGTGTTTTTCCATAACAGGTAACTTTTGATGAAAAATCATAGACTATCCATGTGTTGGTGAGCAGGAGACAAAATTAAAAGTACCTAGCAAGTCAGTTCTGTATCACTTATATGTGGAAAGACTATTGATATCCCCCTTTTTGAGTAATTGGGGTAAGAGCTGACCTTTGAGAATGGAGGTACTGTAGTGGTAGTAAGTACTGAAGAGAGAAAGTAATGAAGAAGTGCACAGGTACACATGGTCTACCTGACTGGAAATTGCAATGTCTTTGTTATCAGTGACAAGCACAGGTTATTTATCCTGTGCTTTACTTAAGGCTTTTTCTTACACTATATGTTTATCTCCTTTTCCAGACTATCAGTTCTACAAATGCAGGTGTCATGTCTGTCTTTTATATTGTTAAATCCAGCACAGTTCTGAGTTAAGTGGTCATTAAATATTATTTGAGCAGATTGGCTGAATAACACATCAATGCAACACTTGTTTTGATTTTTTCCCCCCAGGGAATTCTATGGATGGCTGTAAGTAGGCCCTGCTGAATCACTATACTCAGCTCAATGTCCAGCAACTGGGTAGGTGTTGTGGGCTTTTCTTCCTTAGGTCTAGAAGTGATTCCATATTGTTTAATGGCTCATGAATGAAGAGGAAATTATCCACTCCTTCCCTTAGCCAATATATATGACAAACAAGGGATATGATAACCATGATAAAAATTCCTATTTAGAAAAGAATGAAAACTGCAATAGCCCTAGTCTATAACAACGTTGGTATCCTGCTAGATAGGTAGGAAGAAATTTCTTATTTTTGATTAGATCCTGATTCTAGTCTCCGGAAGGATATCCCTTAAGCTTTGTTCTCTATGCTATTTGTTATATTTTAGGCTTTACTCCATGTGGTGGATTGACAACTAGTGGTCGATTTTTAACACCCTTTGAACTGGATCAGTATGGTTCTGGGTATGGAGGGCCCACCTAAGGATTATTGTCAACAGCATTAAAAGAGAACTGGAGAGGAAGTATGCTGTTGATTCTCCTGGAGAAGTGTGTCACACTGGTTTTCCTGATACGAACTCTGGGATTCTCATTGTCATAGGAGCTCTGGACATCACTGTCACCGACAATGGTTACAGCTCACTTTGGGGAAACTCTGGTCCTTACTTTGAACATTGCTTCCTAGTTTTGGAGGGGAAGATGGTGAGTTGTTAAATTCCCTTGGAAAAGCTTGTCACGCTGGCTTCCTGACATGAACTTGGCTGTTCTCTCAACTGGAGAAGCGAGGGACCTCACTGCTGCTGAGAATGCTGCAGTTCTTTTCGAGGGAGCTCTGGTTCTTACCTTTAACACCACTGCCTGACTCCAGTGCAGATCCCTGAGTGTGCAAGCACTGTTTCGAGCATTGAGTTTCCATCCCTGATCTTTGGGCCTTCCTAGTACAGATCCATGAAACAGACTTGCAAAGATATTGTTATGGGCTCCAGGCTTCCAGCTGGACTCATGGAGGACATTTCCATGGGCTCTAGGTCTTCAACTGGACTCACGAAGGCCACTGCCATGAGATCAAGGCCCTCAGCCAGATTCTTTGGGTCTCTATTGTGTGGAAAGATCTCCCACACTCCTGTGCATTTGACTCTATGGGTGAATATTATAAAATAATCCTATAAATTATGTGTCCTATATTAAATTGTTTCCCTTGCAAATCCTGACTGCAACACTCCGTTTTCTTTGTCATCTTTGGTAAAAGGCACTGTTTAGCTTTTAAGCTAATTTTTCAAAGAAACAAACTTGCCTCTTTTTAATGTCTTTTTGTCGTCATTTGTTTCATTTTGTGTTTTGTTTGCTTATATCTTTTGCCTTGGTACTTTGCTCTCCTTGCCGAGACAAAACAACCAACACCCAAAGTTAAGGAAAGAAAGGTTCATTTAGCTTAGTTTGTGGAGGTTTTAGTCCACAGTCAGCTGGCTCCAAGGCAGGGTGGCATATGGCAGAGGGGCAAGTTCAGGGCAGCCAGAAGACAGCAAAAGCAGCAACAACGGGAAAATAAGGTGGGGGTGGGGGAGCATGAGACAAGACTCTGTCTTATATTGTATGTAGGCTCCCCACTCTAGAATGGCTATAACACTCACACCCATAATTCCAGCACTGGAAAATGAATCAATCAGAAACTCTAGAAGGCAGACCCCATGATTCCATACGGCCTTGATGAGACTTCCATACACAAACCATAACAACTCGCACATAACCTTTATTGAGAAATAACATTCCTACAATTAAGGGCATATATTTCTACATGTACAGTTCAGTTCAGTGAATTTTGACACACACTCACACGCACACACACAGACACACACACATATATCTATTAACTAAAGTTTTCTTGTATCTCTTTAGTCTTACTCCCCCAACTCTACCCCATTACAGGCTCCAAGTATAATTGATATGCTGTTAGTATAGATGTTAGAATTTAATTAAATATTCAATTTCTGGTTGTCTCATAAAGGCTATGGTATTTTGTGACTTCAGTTGAATTTGAAATAAGAACCATATTGAAAGCAACTGAGGTTGGGGATTTGGCTCAGTGGGAGAGGGCTTTCCTAGCGTGTGCAAGGCCCTGAGTTTGACCCCCAGCTCTGCAAATGAGTGACATATCTTTATATCTCTTCTAAATTCCTTCTCTTTCATCTCTTTCTAATAATTTGTTGCAGAATCTAGGTTATTTGTTCTGTAGAGTTTCTGACAGACTAGATTTTGTTTGCATTAAGCATTTAACACACTCTTCTGTCTTCTTTTTATAGATGGTTCCATTTAGTAACCTGATCTAATTGAGCTTAACTTTTTGGCATCATGCATTTTTTACCTGGGTTGGTGAATGCTTTCACATTCTTTCAATGTAACAGAATTTTGTATCTAAAACAGGTAAGCTTTTGGCTCATGTAACTAAAAATTCTGGGGTATATTACAGATTGGGGATACCTATTTGATTTGGTTTCTCAGAGTTTTGGCTTCATTTTCATAGGAAATATGAAATAGGCTTGATATCATTTAATTAGCACTCATTGGCCTACTTTTGAGTCAAGCATCCATTCTGAATCAATTAACAGCACTAATTGGATATTCTAATTGGCCAGATCAGGGTTCCAAAAAGCAGGTACTCTCTGTAAAACCACAGCAATTTTTACTACATTTAAAGAAAATTTTAGTCCTCTACCATCACCGTTGTTCGGTTTACAGATGTGACTTGTTACTTAATCTTTACATGACAGCCCTTATTTATAAACAATGTTTCTACCTAAGTGAAGGTGCAGTGATTAGTGTTTTGAGTGTTTAGGGAGAGGCCCCTAAGAATTGTCCCCCAAGTTCCTCTCTATTGAATCAGCGTGTGCCTACTGTCTCTTGTCAAGTTGCAGAAGCCAGGAACCAAACAGAAGTGGTGGTGAGGACGGAAAAGTGATCTTAGTACCATTTAAAAAAAGCAGGGCACTGGGTGGCAGTATATTTAAGGGATGGAACACTTACCTGAGGTTACTGTGAAGAGGACATCAAGATAAACTTGGTATACTTCACAGGTTATTTTTAACCCCAACTACAAAGTTCTAGGGCAGAATGGTAGTTTCCTGAGACAGATCAGGATACCGTGGGCAAAATACCGACTTCGGTCTGTCGTCCAAAACTGGATTTCTCCGCTCGCCGCAGTCAAAAACCCCTGCTTTACTCAGGCGCGGTCAGGTAGCATTAACCAGGCCACGCCCCCCCCGGCGACCGGCTCCGCGTTTAACCAGGCCACGCCCCTCCGGCGACCGGCTCCGCGCCGGTGTCATTTCCGGTCCGGGGCAATTCTCATCCGGGTCAAATAGAGCCTTCTGCTCTCCGCGAGTAGTGAAGGTGCCGCGCTGTCCGTGTTATCGTCTCCTAGTGAGATCGAGCCGTAGTGCCCAGAGGCGAGGTACTACCTCTGTCCCAGGCAAAGAAAGACGAGACCGGGGAACGGGCAGCAGCTGGGCCGCACCGGTGAGGACTGGCCGCTCTGCTCCTTCGCTTGCTGCTGTCTCTGGGAACGGGGTGCCAAGGCTGAGGGACCTCCAGCGGGTGGCAGCCTCCTTCCCTGGCTCCCCTGCCCACCCTGCCGGGGAGGGCGGAAGATGCCAGTGAAGAAAAAGAGAAAATCCTCCGGGGTGGCAGCGGCAGTAGCGGAAGACGGAGGCCTCAAAAAGTGTAAAATCTCCAGGTACCACTTCCCCTCCCTTCGGTCTTTCCTTCTTCCTCCTAGGCAGGACTGCTGGAGGAGAAAGGAGTCGGGCCCTGGCCCCGGGCTCGGACTGCAGAGGTGAGACCCTGCCGTCGCGCTGGGCGGTGGATGGAGAGCACCGACTCACCGCGCGGAACCCGACCTCGTGTTCCTATGTGTGTTGTCCTCTGGCGTCCGAGGGGTACTGCAGAGTCGCCCCACACGAGAGTCTCTGTGTCTTGGAAGGTTGGGGAACAGACTTGCGAATTTGTGTTCCACTCTCTTCCCCTGCCCTCCACTCCCTTGATGCGAAGGCCTTTTTTCCAAATCTAGAAGGATTACTTGTATAATTCCTTTGTAGAGTGTGAAAAAAGGAGCAGAGTGTGAGGAATTTTGACAACTGCTTTGGGAATCATAGAAAGGAAAAGACCAATCTATAATTGGTCTCCGTATTTAGTATTTGAAGTGACCCCACCTGATCGGCCCAGCAGGCCTTTTGTATTACAGGAGCCCAGTTTTCTGGAAGTATGGTGTTCCACTTGTCCCAGGTCTCTTTGTGGGGAATTAGAAGGCCCTGCATGCTTTCATGTTTTTTGTTGTCTAACATTCGTCACATTGTTAGTTCTCAATATAAATATTAATAATTTTAAAGCTACTGTGCACTACTTTCTCTTGGAGAAAAAAGAAACAGAACGATAATCTTTGACCGCTTTTATAGCATTGTTACAGAAATAGCCATTATAGAAATACTTTAAGCTGCAGAAATCTTTGCAATTTAGGTTTGAGAATCCCACCCAATCGGGTCTTTTTACCAAGAATTTACGGTTAAGGCGATATTTTCAGATGCCGCCATTAAAACCCAGCAGTAGCCACACTGTATGAAATAATGTGCTTTCCTTGAGGAGAGAGCTGTTTAAAATGTAAGGGATGTTAGTTGTATAGCCTGCGTCTTTCTTTTTTGCAGTTACCTTATTTTTTTTCCCTTCAATGCTGTGTTTTGGCAAAAGAAGCCTGAGAAATTCTGTTTTCTTTGTTTTTTGAGACAAGTATGTAGTTCAGGCTGCTTTTGAACTTAGTATATACCCAGGCTGACCTCCAACTCACAGAAGTTCTCCTACCACAGCTTCCTGGGAGCTAGGATTATGGGCATGCACACCACACTGAATTCTTGGGGTACTGGAATAATTTTCTTATACTGTAAAGAGTAAAATCTCTTCCTCATGGTGGCTAATATTAGAATTTGACATGGTTATTTTACTAGCTGATTTTTTTGAAAAGTAAGCAAATTTTTAAACTCGTGGGCATTTTAAGTGTATGATGTATCAAAATTATTTAAATGAAGCATTAAAACAGCGCGGAAGGCAGTATTAGTAGAACTCAAGTGACACTTTTCTCTATCAACTTAAACTTTTAAATATGGCATCTTTGTTTTACACTATATTATGCAATTACATAATTTTCTGAAGTCCAGTAAATCCTAGAGGTCATTTGTAATTTCCCAACTTGTAGTGATTTTATGAGTAGGAGAAAACAATCTGAGATTAAAATTTTTTGGCATAATTGTTTGGTCTTTTTAATTATTAACTTTTGGGTTTTTAAAAATTTTTTAATTGTGCAGTTTCATATACTCTTAGGTTATAAGTCATTATCTTTTAAAAATTCATTTAGGTTTGATAGGGAAACATCTCAATATATTATTTTATTCACATCTCTTACATCCTTTTATTTTCAAATATTAAGTATCAAAATACACTTTGATTTCAGATGAGTATGTGTTATACACAAATACAGTGTTGTTTCACACAATAGCAGATTCACAGCGTATAATTTACCAATCCTGCATTGCAACTTAGGTTAAATTGGGGAGATGATTCTAGTTGATATTAATTGGAATTGGGTAGTAAGCAGAGTTACCAGTTGAATTTTGTTAGCTAGAAATTCTTACTGTTTCAAATTGCAAATATTAACTCCATTTTTTTCTTATGATGTCATCTTTTAAAAACAATAAAACTTTAATTTGAATTGAAGTAGTTCTTATTGAACTTAGTTTTTCACTAAGAGTTGAGACTTGATAAAAATCTTAGGCATTTGTGTGTTTTCTAAGCTATTGCAGATCCCAACCCCCTGCTAGACTAATAAGTGGAGAGGAACATTTTTCAAGCAAGAAGTGCCTGGCTTGGTTTTATGAGTATGCAGGTAATGAAATTAATGTAAGAAGATATCAGTCATATGCTTTTAAAAGTTTTTTTTTTCCCATTTATTCATTTAACAAGTTATTTATTGCAGTTCTGCTATGTTTGAGTGCTGTATGCTGAGATTAGGGTCAAGACTAAGGATTCTGAATTGGTTAGAATTTAATGCCATTGTAAGCTGATATTTCTTTAAGTATATATTGAGTGTATATTTAGTTGGAAAGGAGAAAATATATAAATAGAAACAGATTCATTTATTTATATACATTGGCTAAAGCAGTATTCTGGAAAACAAAAGTACATAGTAAAATATTTTTTTCTATGCAATATTCTGGAAAAAAAACCCTGTAAAACATTTCTCTAACATCTTTGTTTTAGAAATTTTTCTGAACTAGAAACATTTTCTAAGACTTTAGGGTGATAGAAAAAAATTTAAACCTCAAATATGTCATTCTGCAACATACTTATCTTGTAATGATTGTTAGCCATTTCTACAAGAGATGCAGTAATAAAAAAGTAAGTAGTTTGATATTTTTTTAGTAGGTTGATATCAATACTGTGATAAGTGCTATATTAGAAAGACACACTGTGAGAATTCATATGAGGAATATATAACCCAGCCTGGAACATGTCAGAGGAGCCTTCTTGAAGGAGCTAATTAACCTTAGCTAAATCCTGTAAGTGGTAGATGACAAGCTCTAGGCTCAGGGTGATACCTAGCAAAGAGGTGAAAGTAAAAGCCAACCAGGGATGAGGCTAATGCAAATACATGCATGGGAATAGTAATAAACTTTCATGAGACCATGTAAGAATTTTTTTCCACTAAGAATAGTTTTGGCCTTTTGGAGTTACTGATTTTAAAGCTTTGTGTTTTTCCTTTTTCTTTCCTGCTTCCCCAGTTTTTGCTTTTTGTTCTTTTATTGGTATTCTTAAAATTTTTGTTTAAAATAAAAGTATGCTTGTATTTATTGCCTATCTATGTTAAGATTTAAGTGTACCCTGGTATTAATGTAAAGTTTAGGCCAACTGTGTGGAAAGTGAGATTGTTTTTAGGAGGCAGCAACCTCATAGTTGGTATCTGCTGAGTGATCCCAAAAGTATAATTTTAAAATTGTTTAGTAGCAGGACAGATTTCTTTTTAGACCAGAAAAAGGCTATTACTGGCATCCCAAGAAACCACTAACCCAATTTAAATGTAAGAATTCATTTTCTTACTGACCTCCATTTTAACGTTGACCCATTATTCAAAATGCTAGTTTTACCGGTATGCATGATAAAGAATCCAGAAGTCATTCATCCTGTTTTACTAATATGTAGAGGTTATTAGATAACATAAAAATAATGAGTACATTTTTTTCTTTCATGATTACTTGTTTTACTTTTCCTGGGTATCATAATATTCTAATGAAATATTTCCTATGGTAGCATTTTTATGTAGCCAACATAATAATTCTCACTATCCCAGGAATTGTGCTAAATATATCATTTTGACTTACGACTATTCTGTTAAATAGGTGCTGTTATTCTCATCTTACAAAGAAGAACACTGTCAGTTAGATTAAGAAATTTGTCCAAGATCATATAGTGACTAAAGCCAGAATTCAAACCCCAATCAATGTGACCCCAGAGACTGCTTTTAAATACTACTGTCTTAACAGTGTTTTAGAAAAACTTTTATTTAAATATGCATGTGGTTATGTAACATGGCAATTAATTTTCAGTTTCATAAAAATATTAATACACTTGAAGTTAACTGTCATTTATTCAGTGTTTCAATCATTAAACTGATAGAGGGCTTGTTTGTAAATCAGGCACTATGCTAAGTGCTGGGGATATATAGTGAACAAGTCAGATGTGTTCCCTGCCCTCAGGGGACTTGGCTTCTCAGTGAAAAAGACAAATTGAAAACAAATGTAGGCAAGGTACTTAAAGATTGTGGAGGATTATATGGTAATATGGGAGGTTCAGGAATAGAGGGGAAAGGAAGGGTTGGATTTGCCAGATATGGTGATGAAGAAAGGCCTCTCTCTGTGGAGGCTGAGGAGAAACCTGCTACATCAGAAGGAACCAGTTGTTTGCTCAATAAACCTTAAGTGTTTTTTCTTAAAATAGAAATAAACCTCATTATTAAAATAGAGACCATAGCTGTGCCTACTGAGAACACTACATGCAAAACCCTTAGCTATTATTAAAACAGCAATAGCATTATAGATAGCATCAGATTTACAGGTGATATGTTTTCTGTAACATTTCAAAATTGACAGAAACTTTGGTAAAATGCTGTGCCACTGAACAACATATGTATGTGTGTATATATATATACATATATATATGTATATATATATATGTATATATATATATGTATATATATGTATATATATATATGTGTATATATATATATATATATATGGCCCTGACCATCTCTTATGGTTGGAATGGTATTAGGACCTGAACATTTAGCTAGAAACATTTCTTTATGGTTATTAAAAATCAGAAAGTTTAAGGTGTTTTTCTTATAGAAATACCAGAAAACTTGTTACATATTGTATCGTACATCATGTGTAATAAACATGATAGTTTGCCTTTTCACAAGATCTATGATTCTGGAGTGATATAACAGGAATCATTAGTGCAGTTGTTCCTCTTTATACATAGGATAAAGTGGTACCAGGACAATCTCAGCTGTGCAATAGGTATCAAAATCTGAGGGTGCTCAAATCCCTCGTGTAAAATTGGGTAGTATTTGCATGTAACTAATACACATCCTCCTGTAGACTTTAAATCATTTCTATAGCCTACTTATAACTCCTGTGATATGTGAAATTAATGATGTCAAAAAAGTCTATACATATTCAGTACAGATGCATTTTTTTTTCCCCATTTTTTATGAGCAGTTGGTTCAGTGTCTGGAAGGCCAACTGTGTACTGGATCTGTAGTAAGCAAAAACATAACAAGTGGCAGGAAACTTTTTATTAAAGTCATGGAAAGAATTTAAAAATATGGTTAGAGGTGCTTAGTCCTATTATAATAGCCAGCAGATAAATTGTCCTAGAAGAGACATCCACATCCTCTCCATGGCTTCTTAAGTTGGGTGGAAACATAGTTGTCTGAAAGAGTTAATTAAATATAGCTCTGTAGATTTTACTCAGGCAGCCAATTTTATTGGAAAGGTATGGTTCATATTTTGTAATTAACAACAGGCAATTAGAGAATATTGCTTTAAACTTAGGTCTGTCATTATTTGCATTGCTTTGAAAAAGTCACTTAACATGGGCAGACCTTATTCGTATAAGAATATAAGGTCATGCATATACGTGTATATGTATAATATATACCTTATATAGCCTAATTTAACTTGTTTTTAATCAAATTTAGTCACTAATTAGTCTCTCAGTTCTAGGGGACTGTTTTGCTTACAGTAAGTGACATTCTTTAACTGTTCAGCTTTTTTTTCTAATCACTGTTGGCAACTTTGAGGTTATTGCACCAGAAAAGTTGGAATGTAATTCTATCATGCCTTAAAAATACTCTTTGTTTTTTCTCTTAAATTTTTAAATCTGATTATTATTATTCTTGTCCAACCATATAGAAGGATGTACACCTACTTACATATTTTTAGCAACCTTATTTTATGTGTGCTTCTCATTATTCATTTGTTTACTTTGATGCTGGGGGTTGAACCTAGTGCTGTATTACACTAGACATACCACCCCGCATCACTATGTATGCTTTTAAAATTACAAATGTAACACATTCTAATTGAACAATTCTCTAAATATATATTAGGAAGTGAAAGTCTCCTGTAATTACCACCCCCTTTACCTTTTAACACCTCAGTGCACTGTTGGTACTTATTTTAACTTACTGACATTTATACTTTTACAAAATCTAAAAGGGTCTTGGTGTCTTACCTTAATATTGTTTTGGCAGCCTGACCACATACGGGATGACTATACTGTATTACAAAAAACTGTAGAACGCTGACTTCATGTTGTACCTTCTGTAATCAAGTGATAGTGCTATAAACCCACCTGTGCAGCCTAGAACTTATCTAACTTACAAAGCTGAAGCACTTTTAATCCTTAGAAAAGGAAACGAGAGGTTTCTCTTGACTTTAACAACATTTCAAGACTATACAGTACTTTCACAGTACTAAGCATTCTCCCATGATATTTCATACAATAAGGTTTGTTTTAGTGTTAGTCATGAAGAAACTTAGCTAATTACTGTGTTTTGAAAGTCTGAAAAAAATTATGAGAATTGATTTGTTGACATTTAGTGATAGTAAGGAAGAACAATAAGGATTAAATTACCATTAATTAATGTTCAGACAAATGGTAGACATAATCTGAGCAATCAAACTTGTGTGCATATTAAGGTGATATAACTAATTTCTTAATGTCTATTTTAGAGCCTATATGATAAGGAAAATTTCTGTTTTTAAAGCATAATACAGTAATTTCTATAAGTCATTTTTACAACATTTTTCAAGAGTTAAATTGTTTACATACATTTGAAACAGTTAATAGGTGATTTTGTTTTTAATAAATATTCTCCTTTTGATTACTGTGTTCCAGTTCTGACACATTCTAGTAGAAGCTCCAACTTTTTTATGCTTCTTTATATTTTTGTATTGCCAAAGTTTATTCTGAATAGGCTGTCAGTAAATGTTTTTTCACATGTAGTTTTAAACTTTTGTATAAACTGTTGATTGATACTAATAGAATATTTCTTTATTGCTCCTTTTAAAAAGTTTAAAATTTTTTGTCATTTCATGTTGTAATGTTGTGTTCAAGAAATTAAGTTTTAAATTGTAAATCTGTAGCAAATATCAGGCTTTATTGAAACTATGCCAAAATTGAAATTCAGTTATTTGTAAAATATGTTGTATTTATAGATGCCTTTTGCATAATGGCTTATTTTATGTTGATATTAAATTATAATAAAATATACAAACTACTTTTGTCTTTGAAGGTCCTGATGAAGTTGTAGGGCCAGAAGGAATGGAAAAGTTTTGTGAAGACATTGGTGTTGAACCTGAAAATGTATGTTTTATTTCTAAGTGGAATGGATTATATATGGGGTATAACATACTGATAAATTCTGAAAATTGAGATTTTATTCTTTTTTGTTTGTTTGTTTTTGGAGACAGGGTCTTGCTATGTAATTTAGTCTGGCCTGTAACTCACTATATCGACCAGGCTGGCCTCTAACTCCCAGCAGTCCTCCTGCCTCAGCCTCCCAAGTGCTGGGTTTGCAAGCATACATCACCATGCTCAGCAAGACTTTACTCTTACAAAAAGATTTTTTTTCTTCATATTTAATATTGTAAATTTATATTTAGGATCTTTTTAATCAGTTTAAGTTGTGCAAGTGTTCGCTTAATGCAAATTTCATTTAGAACTTTTACCTTTTAAGAAATTGGTACATATCAATTCTTTGTAGTTAAAAGTTCGAGAGATTGTACTCTTTACTAGTTGCAAAATGGAAATACTTGTATAAAAATGCTTTCCGTAATACAGACATGATTATCTCCATGCTGACTTTTCCCCTATCCTTTATGTTCTGTTCTTTCCAGATTATTATGTTAGTTTTAGCGTGGAAATTGGAGGCTGAAAGCATGGGATTTTTTACCAAGGAAGAATGGTTAAAGGGAATGACTTCATTACAGTAAGAATTTTTTTTAAAAAACAAATTTAATGGCCTATTTGAAGATCTTAATTGATATTTTGTGCTTAACAGTTTTCAGGGTTAAGGTTTCACCTTTAAGTCAAATTAGTTCGATGTACATGACTGTGGGTCACTTAAGTATGTGTATGGGAATCGGCTTCTCTTCCCACCTAGGCCCTGCTGGTCTCTGCAGTTTGGTCACCTGGGATGGGCTAGTGGGGTCGGGGCCATGCCCAGCAGCAGTTTCTGCACAGGGGCTGCTCCTGCCAGCCCTACTGGCTTGGGCTGCTTCCAGCTTAAGTGAAAGGACCACTTAACGATTGTTATTCTGTTTCTCTGCATCCATGTCTGAATTCTTTTGAGTTCCAGCACTGAGGGGAGAAAGGGAATTGACAATTATATTATGGTCTTGGCAAATGATTAGTTGCCCGTTTTTCATATTCTTTAAGAGCTTCAGTACAGTTCCATTAAAACCTTTTGATTCTTTTGATAAGTGATTTAGAAGTCAGTGATCAAAGACTATTCACAAGTTGAGTAATAAAGGCTTTCTCACTGTGAATATGGAATGTCACAATATGAGTTTTCATTATGCAATCTGAAGCTCTTGGGCCTCTCTCCCCTCTCTCTTCTCTTATAGATTTGAAGAGTTATATAATACTTCTCTGATTTTTTGTTTTTAAATGAAGAAAAATGTTGTATAGTTCCCATGCAATTTTTACCATTTTTATAGTTAAATACTTTCAATTTAGTATGCTTCTTGGGTTATTTTAATAAGCTATAGAACTGCTGCTTTATAAAAGTAATTTGTTTTGGCTTTCCAGAGTAAAATATATTTAATTTCAGAATTAGAAATTATTTGTTTATATTATGTCATATTTCTAATGCTTATTCAAAATTTACTAGTCAGCATTCTAAAATAAAGGAAGCATGAATTTATAATATATTAAGAGCACAAAGTGGGGTTCATGGTTTCTGGTTGTGATTATTCTTTTATTAATATACTTAAATACTCCTAATCCTTGTTTTCCTGTACTTCAGTTGTTTAAAGTATTTGTTTATATGGCACTTATTTTTTTTTTTTTTTTTGTCTTTTTCTTTTTTATTGGTACCGGGGATCAAACTCACGACTGCCTGCTTGCAAGGCAGGCACTTATGCCGCAGAGCTAAATCCCTAGCCCCTGGCATGTAAATTTTTATATTTGAATTTTCAGTGGGTAATTATCTTTATGAATTAAAACATTAACATAAACTTTTATTTTTTTTCCCTTGGGTAAAATTTTTTCTCATATGAACCAAATCAAAATTTCTAGAATGAAACATAAAACCAACCCTCCCACTTCTAATATTTATAAATACAGTTTGAAACTCAAGGAAATTAACAAAAAAATTGCTACAAAATGTCCATAGTTAACTATTGATGGAATGAGGGTTTAGAATTTAAATTTTTAAACTTCGAGTCTACCATACTTTCTATCATATTATTCTTTCATATATAAATAAAAGTCTTTATGAAATCGAAGGCTATTATTAGCTTTTTAAATTATAGTATTTATAGCCAAGATTGAATTCTGTCATACATTGAAGAGTCAAAATATATCAAGTTAAATATATAGATTATGATATTCTTTGAGCTAAATCCCAAATTAGCTTAATTGGTTTTTTAAAAGAAGATTAAATAAAATACACAAGGGGATATGTAAAGAATGTAAATTAGTTTTTATGCAACTGAGTCTGTTTCAGTAAGTGTTGTAATGGTTTATTAAAACATTTTATTTGACATGATAAATTTTTTTACTACTTTTTGTTTACTGCTTTTTTGGTGTATCTCAACTAACAAAAAAGTTACTCATGGTTTAATGTTTTTATTAAAGTTGATATAAAGTGCCATGATGAAAATGTGTAAAAAACAATTTTTTTTTTTTTTTTTTACCAGTACCAGGGACGGAACTCATGACTGTGTGTTTGCAATGCAGGAGCTTATGCCACTGAGCTAAATCCCCAGCCCCTTAAAAGACATTTTTAATACTGTGGAGTGATCAGAATATAATCTTGATGGTAAGGGTAGTGGCACATGCTTGTGATCCCATCACTTGGCAGACTGAGGCAGGATTGCTGTGAGTTTGAGGCCAACCTGAACTGCATAGCAAAACTCTGCCCCCGCCCAAAAGAAAAAAATACATATATATCAATTAAGTACTAGAACAGACATTGACTAGCTCATGAACATGGCTTTTATTAGCATTTCCAATATAAAGGTTGAAGACTATATAAAATAAAAGCAATTACTACATATTTAAAGTTACTTCAAAAGCTTAGATGGAACAGTATAGTGCAGAGCCTTGAAGCTACTCAAATAAAAAGCGTTCTTAACGAACAAATGGTTGTTTCTTTCCCAAGGTTAGATTGCTAAGTGAAGTACGAAGTGTCTTCTTTAAATTGACTAACTCTGGTCCCTTAATCTTGTGAAAAACTTGCTTTTGAAGTATAATCCAAGAGAAAATAATCTCTTTTAATTTTAAAATTTATAGTTGTTTAAAGTACTTGGTTTTATATCATAAAATAAAATATAAAACCTTACATTCTCAATTTCCTATGTATATTTTTCTTAGTTTTAGAATTTAATTTAATGTAGGCTTCTGGTGGTCTTTAAATCATCTTAGTGTAGTTATCTGTAGTTTCAATTAATCAGTTTTAGCCCTTAGAAAACTTTAGTGATATTGTACTAAAGAATAAAAATAAAACATAATGGGGTCAAGAGTAGCTAGGTATAATAATCATGATTAATTAACAGTCTATATTGTATAATCCTTTACAGCTTTCACAGTACATTCATTTGTCTTAAGGATATGTGTCCATAAACTATAAACTAATTGACCTCCTATTTTTTATGAAAGAATTTGTGTATCTGAACTTACAATTGGACTAGCTGGCTATTTTGTAAGTTTCAGAAAATGAAATTGCCACATCCTTTGAAGTATTTTGCTTCATGTAGTTTTCGTAGGTAATGGTAGTCAAATTTTCTTGGAAACTGGATTTAATTGTACAGATTATTTATATTAAAACCCCTGTGCTATGTAAAGCCAGTTACTGGTGATTACAGTGAAGTGTGAGGTCTTGACCTTTGGTTACATTCTAATAGCACTGGGAAGACAATACTATAATTATAAATCCAGATAGATTTATAATTGTGGCAGGGGAAAAATACAGAATATCAGGAAAGCAAAAATACTATAAAACTAGTTTCAAGTGAGTAGATAAATATTTTTAGATGTGGCTTTTGAACTGTATCTTTAAGAATTAGAATCTTTTTGGTTGAGTACCTGAGAGAATGTTGCAGAAGAGAAGACTCATAAACAGAGCCTTGAGGAAAGAAAGTATTTATTTGATGAATGTGAACTGGTTACTAGAATCATAAGGTACATAAAATTACCAGGATGAATTTAAATTCTAGATAGGTTAAGCTAACATGTTGAAGGAGTAAACTTTAGTTATTGATGTTGGGAAACAGAGTGTTTTGTTTTGTTTTGGTACTGGGGATTGAACTCATGACCTTGCACTTGTCAGGCAGGTGCTTAAACCTGCTGAGCTAAATCCTTGGTCTGGGAAACAGTTTTGAGCATAAGAATTGTCAAAGATTTTGGGGGTACCTCTCATTAAGCAACTATTCTTAATGTTTTAAAATCACAGGTTTGTGGGGGGTGCATTTTGTTGCTTGATTTTTTTGGTGGAAGGGAATATTGCTGAGGATCAAACCTGGGATGCTGAATTGCTGAGCAACATCTGCAGCCCATTTGTGTGAGGGTCTCACTAAATTACTCTGCTAAATTTTTGAGAATTTTGTGAAAACTATGGACTTTGTCCCCATTAAGATGTAAATGTACTGGTACACACAAAATTTTGCATATTATTTTGGCTTTTTCTCTTCCACCATGTGATACATAGTTCCAAGCACACCTAGAAGTTTTGTTTACTGTATTGGAAAAGACCTCACATCTGCTAGCTGAAAGTTCGCTGTGTATAGCAAGGATAAAATAACTACCATGCTGGTGGAGATCATTGAAAGCATAGATGCTTGAAGGGACTGTTCTTGATTATGACAATGAAATAAAGAGGTAAGCATCTGAGAACAGTGATAGTAACTTAAGTTGACTACCAGTATGATTCAGGTTGCACATTTTCTGACCTTCATATTGAGCCCTGAACTTTGAAGATTAAAGCAACTGGTCTGGCTTGATTGTTTTTTAAGAGGAAAGGGAATGAGGAACTTTTCTTTTTTTCTTTTTTTTTGGTAGAGGCAAAAGAGCAAGGTAGGGTGGGTATGGTATATGATTCATTTATTTGGTGTATCAGGCCCATCTATTCTCACTAACATTGCTTCTTTTGGCTTTTTCTATATGGTAATAACAGTTTCAAAATGTCCTTCACATTTCCAAATACACCAATAGGTAGACTGCTTTGCTGCAGTTGATATATTGCAGAATCCAAGAGATCAGAGAGATCTATAAAAAAAGAGGAGGATTTATTTTGAGGATTTTAGTTGCACATCGACCCTGCTGAACTGTTCAGAGTGCTAGATGTTAGAATAAAGGAAAGATCTCAGTTTTATACATTTGGCTGAAGGGGTTGAACTTTCGAAACTTGAGGGGAGGGCAAGTGAAGGTCCAGAAGCAAGACAAAGCAATTAATAACTTAGCTCTGAAAGAAAATGGAGCCTTATGAATCTTGTGAGAACAAGATAGCATAAACTCTGTTTACAGGACATACTTGCCAGTCTTACATGTAACAGAACGAGAAGTTACAGCTATTAAGAGAGGAAAGGGAGAGTTTGAGAGGATTGCTCTTTGAGTTTCATTTCCCCTTTTGATGCTTTCTAAAACAAGTTTTTATAGAGAATATCAGTGTCATTAACATTTATCTTGTGATGGGAGACTTACATTGTCATTGTATTCCCTTGTGGATCCTCAAGCTTAGGCCATTCATAGACTGCTCAGCTTCAAGAG